TATATATATATATATATATATATATATATATATAGAGAGAGAGAGAGAGAGATGAGCGATCAAATGCAAACCACCCAATTTGTACAAATCGTACAAATCACTCTCATCCGTCGATTTCATTATTTAATCTTATGAAAAAATTTCATAAAATTGTTTAATCTTATGAAATTATTTCATATATGGTAATAAAATTGTTTCATATAATACTTGATGAAATTTTAATGAAATTGTTTCATGTAATTTTTTAAAATTAAAATAATAAAGAGGTTAATATCCATGATTAATACCTTCCACAATAAAAATGATTATCAACCTCTCATAATTACAAAAAAATGAACAAAATGAAAAAATATGGTCAGTTGAATGAGATTTATACAGTTTGTACAAATAACGTAATTTACAAAGTAAGCATCCTCTATATATAATCAAAACCATGTAATAACAATGACTGAAATGACTTTTGTTTTGTCAAACCTGAGTTTTCCAATTTTGTATTTTTAACTTTTTATCGATTAGTTTCATACTTGCTATGAAAAATAGAGTAGCCTAAATTGAAGATCAAAGGAGCCGAAAACATTCAATGTTGAGGCTTTTACACATCTGATATGAATATTGATTATTTTGCGGTGAAAAAAAGGGACCATATTCCCCTCATTATACAACACAAACAAAGATTCATCTCCCAAGGATTAGTCGATGCACGTAAACTCACTCAACAACAACAATATTATAATTTTATAATACGATTATAACAGTCTATATCTAATAACATGTAACGACATTTTCCTTGTACATTTCCAATGATACCAACACAACATAATTTTACTTTAATTGATGTTTCCAACAACCAATGTTTTTATATTGTGAATGCACTCATCGTATTCGCCTTGTCTTACTCTTCCACAGGAGGATCCACCCACCGCCCATGCTCTTTAATTAGTTGAATCAATGCATCTGTTGCATTCTCCATTGCAATGCCTCGTTTTACAACAGTCTGCACCATTCAATCACCACATTAATACATACATATATATATATATATATATATATGTATATGTATGTATGTATAAATACATAATTGGAAAACAAACAAGACTTTGTTTCATACCTTTCCAACATAAAGATCGATCTTTCCAGGAGCACCGCCAACATATCCAAAGTCTGCATCAGCCATCTCTCCTGGTCCGTTAACTATGCAACCCATAATCGCAATCTGCCACCCATAACAACAACAACAACAACAAAATAAACTCACATAATCTATTTGATAAACACAACAACTTTAAATGTCATTCAATCAGTCAGCAGCAGGGATTACCGAAACACCAGGCAAATGTGATGTTTTTTCTCTAATTTCTGCACTTATCACTTGAAGATCAAATAGAGTTCTACCACAAGACGGGCATGACACATATTCCTGCATGCATCTCTTTACCATTATTACCAACAACAAATATATATATACATATAGCAAATTAAATAAATGATTCATTCATTCCCTACCGTTTTAGTGTTCCTCATCCTGCATCCTTGAAGCAGATTGAAAGATGTATTCCTCAGAAATTCAAAATCTTGATCTGGAGCTTCTAATAAGATACCATCTCCAAGTCCATCAACTAAAAGAGCACCTGCGTTGGCACCCGCACTAATAACCAAATCATCCCTGCCATTATGTGCAACAGTTTTAAATTACTTGTAAATAATTCTAAAACAAGGAAAGGGAAAAAAACATAACTAAAACGTTCTAAATCGTCATCAATCTCGTTCTTTCTTATATTGACATGGCTCAGTGAGTTACCTCGGAATTCCCTTCGGGAACTGTATGTGGTGAAGAACAGGAAAGTTCAGTGAATTTTCTGAAAGATACTCAAATAACCTGTTAGCATGAAGACATGTAATTATCCACACTGTCACAACAAGATGGCCTAAATCTAACTATATTTTTATCATCATGGTTGCCATTCTTTTTGGATGGAATCTTCCTCCTCCAGTATGAGTGCATTTGGTATGCAGACAGGCTGGACAGGACGAACTGGACGGCCAAGAGTGAGGCACATGGGTGAAAGAATTGTGCAACATTTTATGGTTTTAATTTGACATGGGTAGTTTAGTAATTTACCAATCTTGTCCCATCTCCCAAACATCATGTATAATTTTGATATTTTTACCCCACTCGGTACTGTCTGGTCCTAGTCCTAATGTTGCACCAAACGTCAGACAATAAATTTTTGTATTTATTGTTTCGTCTTATCACGTCCTGTCCCACCTACCAAATGCAACTGAACTAATGCATGTGCTTATTGATTAGTGATAAGTATACCTCCTAGCAGCATGTACTCTGCCAGTTTTTTCCTCTGTATATGGCAGATCATGAAGAATCATTGTAGCATCAACGCTCTTTAGAATTTCTAGCTCCTCATAGGGCTCGTCACCACGTACTGACACGACCAAACGTGTGCCTGGACGTAAAGATAATTTATGGGGTATGAGAACCAAAACTGGCATGTGGTAATCGAGTGCTACTAATAAATGGCGCCTTGAAAAGTGAAAAATACCTTCTTGTAAAAGCTTATTAGCTCCGGTTGATAATTCCTTTAAATTTACCAAGACCAAGGCGTTTGGCAAAGGCTTTGTCAGCTGTTCTGATAAAGGAGTTATAATTCCCATACTGACATCAATCAACCTTTTAAGAGCTAGCCGCTGCCCATTGATACAAAAATTTATAATGTCATTTCAAGTCTCAAATAGAATTACACACCAAGCCACCCAAAGGATATTATATATACGTCAAGAGAAAATTGAAGAAAAGGTTCCTTACAGCATCTTGATCATCGGCCGGTGGGAGCTCTCTCAATAAGATAGAATCTACGGTTGCAAGATCCTGAATCAACACCATATATTATGAGTTAACAAACATATATATTATGAAACATAAATGGGTCCTTATAAAACATTGTAACAAAGAATGAACTAACCTTAAATGGCATACCAAGAACAAGTTTTGCTGCTAATGATCTATAGAAGAGTTCAGGTGTCTGACAGAAATGAAAATTGCGAAAAGTTAATGATAGAAATGTGAAAGCTGCGCTCACTGAACAGTGGAGTGTATCAGGGAAGTTCATAATGGATACAGAAATGGAATGAAAGAAGCTACAGAACAGAGTATGACCTTCAATTGATCCAGGGAAACAGACATGAGAACAGAGCCATCACGGTGGAGCACACCTCTAAAATCCACCTCTTCACCCTGCCACTCATTTAAAGTAGAAGTTGCTATTTTAAGAAGAAAAACAAGCAACAATTAAATCGACATATTAAGATTTTGAGTTAGAAGCCAACCTCCTTTTGCACAGGCAAATCACCAGTTCTCCGTTGAAAATCAAAATATCGTCTATGCTTCTCTTCAAATGGTGCCTAGGAAGGTAAGTGCAATAATGATTAGAGTAAGTATGGTTCTCAGAGAACTATAAGACTCAGAATACGTAAGTGTTTTTAATCAGTAAAGGACAGTGCAAAAACCTACCACCCCTTGTTGAATTTTGGATGCTTTCATACCAAAGTTGGCCAATTTTCTACAGGGGTCAATTTCTTCCTCTGGAGGTTCTGTAAGGGAAACCCTGATAGTATCACCAAGACCATCCTGTATACAAGACAACTTTAAGCAAGCATTAGCCAAAAAATGCATAGGCATGGCATAGAAATGGAGGAGATGAGCACAAATGGAGGAGATAAAAGATTACATAAACAACATAAATGGCTTTTGAACTGTTAATGTGATATCTAAAAGCTCATTCATATTGGTAAAAATTAATGAGCATGAAAAAGATGACCTGAAGAAGTGTCCCAATGCCAATTGCAGATTTCATACGTCCATCCTCACCCTCACCAGCTTCAGTGACTCCCAAGTGCAATGGATAATCCCACCCCTGAACATACATTTCAGCTACAAGAAGGCGATATGCTTGAACCATGATCACTGGGTTGCTTGCTTTCATTGAAAATACAAAATTATGGTAGTCTAACTTCCTACAGATTCTAGCAAACTCAAATGCAGATTCAACCTGTGAAATCAAAATTTGCATGGCATAAGTGAAGTTTGAAGGGAAATCAATCGAATCTAAAAGTATGCTAGAGGAGCTGCTTACCATCCCCCTAGGAGAATCACCATAGTAGCTCATGATACGATCTGAAAGACTCCCATGGTTTGTTCCTATGCGCATTGCCCTTCCATATTTCTTGCATTTCTCAACCAGCGGAACAAAAACCTGGTGTAACAGATAATACCTTTATGAGACCTATGTATCCATTCTATCTCATGAATTTTATATTACATAAAATAATGTGTGATCATTGTGTAGTAAGAATATTATTTTCTTTATTCAACCGTGCAAAAACTCAATGAACCCTGACAATGAAAAATAAATAAAACGTGCCATAAAACATGTAAGATTAGGGTTCTCTACTCCTACAGAAGTCGGTCAAAATACTATATGTGATAACAAATTGGTTGAAGAAGACAGACTTATCCTAGTCACAGAACATTAACATGGTATAGAAACAATAAGAAACCATGTGCTTGCTCCTGAACCCAAATTTATTACTCTTCCAGTTTCCCATCAACTGAGGCTAGTTGCCTTCAACTTGCCAGGAATTGGTTGCCAGGTCGGTGGTTGCTGATCTCCTTTTGGTACTAAAACCACGTTCGATTGATAAGAAATGTCGATGAGCAAAGTTGATGCATTGTTCAGAAATAGTTTTATATGGCAGAGAGCAAACAATAATGCACAGACAGCTGGCACCTATTCCCACTTGCTAACAGAATGGAACGAACTTTCATGATTGGAAGAAGAAACAAGATAGGACAGTGATTTCAACAAATAGTTATATACGGAGTTGAGTAATTGTGCATGGTTTCCTTCACACCATGATCTTTTTGGCTTCTATAGAAATAGAGAACTTTTAAGAAAGTAATAGAGAAGAAAGAAAGAGCTTGTGTTTTTATACTGTCAGAGAGAGGTTGTTATACTGGAACAAACAGAAGATATAATTCAGGTGTTCCATCTCTATCCAAGAATTCCTTTTCACCCTTTTCCTCAATCTCTTCTTTCTAAAGGCTACTACTTCGTAATGAAACTATTTATTTTTAAACTAACAGTAGAGCAAAGATTGCAAGAGTGAAATGATTGAAGGTTGATCAACAGTTTCACCTGCTCAATGTGCTCAAGTTCTTTTTGATAATCATCGTCTGTATACTCCAATTGCTCAAACTGAGCCCGTCGATCAGCTGCAAGAAAGAGCATCACAAGATTGAACCATTTGAAAGGAAGTATGACAAAAACGACAAGATGTTAAGTATGTACCAAAATTTCCAGGATTGACACGAATTTTATCAAAGCATTCAGCAACCCGCAGAGCAACTGAAGGAGCAAAATGAATGTCTGCCACCAGAGGTATGTTATAACTGCAAACACCCAGGATGCATGAGATAACAGAAACATACTGATTCCAAAAAGTAGAGAAGTAGACCTACTTCTTTTGAACAAGGGTGTTTTTAATGTCAAAACATGCATCTGCCTCTTTTTTCCCTTGAACAGTTATTCGAACAATATCAGCTCCTCTATCAGCTATTTGCATGACCTGTTATACAAACGATTAAACCACTTGGCATCAAGTTGGCAAAATATAGCATGATGCAGGTGATGCAAGGATATAAGATTTTATATCTTTTCAATTTCTTTGAGTTTGCTGAAAGCAAGTGGTGTGGCCCATCAACATTACATTCTAATAGAACATGGATATACTTTCACAGCACTGATATGTTGCATTAGTCAGATGGGGAAAATATAAGAAACAGATGTAATAACAAAGTGAGGTAGTCAGTCGCTTAAGGTTGCAATACATCTGCAGGACCAGTGCCCAATTTTCACAGTGATTGCAACACGTGGATTTGAAACTTCCAAGACGTATAATTTTTTAAAGTAAATAATATTTATATACGGGAAATGAAACATACACACTGTTCTCACCTTTGGTGAGGTTGGAACCCTTGACCTTTGGGAAGGTTGAGTTACCAGGTAGGGCCGGGCCAATGACCCTTTGGTGAGATACAAAATTTTGTTTTAAATGACCCAAAGTTAAAACAATTGACATGACATTAGAACTTGCAGGTCCATGTGAAGCACAAATCTACTTTTCCACGTAAGGTGGTTGTTAGATCATAGTAACAGAAGATTATGAAAGACAACAACTAAACTGAGATTGGCAGCAACATATCAAGATATACCACTTAAAATGTTGATCATGGTAGAATTAGCAGATTTTACTGTCAATTGGCCAGGTTCCAATATGTTAGAAAGGAGATTACCAAAGGCAATCCAGGAGAGTTGAAAAACAAGGAAATGCAAGCACCTGTTCCACAGTTGCGGCCACGTCCTTAGTATCAGTTGTGGTCATTGTTTGAATTCTTATGGGGTGTTCGCTACCAAGAGCTACATCTCCAACCATTACTGTGCAGGTTTTCCTCCTGATGGTTTTATGTGTGGATTCACAATACTTCTGTACAGGAACTACCAGAAACAAATAAACTCTGTCAGGAACTTGACCCCCGCATATCAGTGCTTACATATCATGAAGATGAATTGTACTCAACCAATGAAACTTTAAAGAAATAAACACTCATAAATTTTAATGCTTGTTGTGATGCAAGCTAGAATCGGGTACACATTCTTAGTAACTGCATTCACATGATCAACAAGCTAGCAAGTAGCTTATGAGCCTAGTGGAAAGTTGTCTACGCCTCCTCATTCCCAGGAACCAAATGAGATACAAAATACAATACCCCATCACTTGCTTAGCTTGCATCAATCGGAAGGGCATAAATCATAATATTGCCTTTAGATTACTAGGATATTGCAGCTTTAAATGTATGCAATAGACAGGTTGATAACTGCAAGCATAAGAGTGAACAAACAGTAAAGCATGTACCTAATAGAGGACTCCCTTCAGAAGCAGGCCGAAGTTCTGCAATATCTGAACCAGGGTTTGAATTTTTTATCACACATATCTTGGTTCTATGAAATTTAACCCTCTTCAAGTCTGAAACTTTGATAAAATCTGAAGTTTTTGCAAACCCCAAGCCATTGTCCCTGCCTAAACTCGAAAGGGCAGCTGCAGCAGCTCCAGTTGCCATTATCACAGACAAAATTTCACAACCTTAACAATCCTGAAACATAAGAAATTGGAATTAATAAGCCTTTCATACTAAGCTGATACTAACTACAACCTCCATTAGATGGATCAAGTCAAAGAAATTGATAATTCTTAAGCGCTCCCACCTTTCCACACCAAAAAGGACACCCAAGAGCATCTCAACAAATTCTTCAAATTTGACTAAAATGGAGAACCAAAATCTCCAAAAAAGTAACATTCAGCTCCAAAAGTTTCTCCACGTAGGAGATTACATCATCATTTATATTAAAATATTAAATACACTTTATTATCCCAACAAACTTCTAGTATTTAATTGGTAGAAACAATAGAAAATCTCTCTCCATTTTGGAGATTTTTACCCCTCTTTCCTACTTTCTCCAAGAAACTTTTGGGGGTCTATTGGAGCAGAGATCTAAGATAAAAACTCCAAAAACTCCATTTTCTCCGTTTGAAGAATCCATTGGAGATACTCTGACTTCCGGGATCAAACAGACAAATTTCAACTTTGGAACCGACTGGTTTCTTAATTTTTGGAGAAATATTTGACAACCACACAAGCAATTGTGACAGATCCTACAAGTTGAAGGGCCTATAAGCGTAGCAAAATCCATACTAACTTTAATTTGTAAAACTACAAATACGACATCAGAAGGCATATCCTATCTATGATACAGTGAACAGAGGAAGTAACTAGCTTATTTGGAAAAAATTCTTCACATATTTGAAAATCGAAACCTAATTTCAAGATTTCCTTGATATTTTAATCAATATATACACAAGAAAAGCAAGTCGATAACACAATAATTCATAATCAACTTCTTACAACTCGCCTAACAGAGTAACTTCCACAAAAAATAATCAATCTCCAGATAATTGCTTGATTAAATTCTACAAAAGAATCAATAAAACCTCACAATCACAAACTTCTTTTGATCCTTTGAGAGAGACACACTTAATCGTCAATTTTAGACCATTACAACAGAAATCAATAAACTTGTTCATCAAACGAACAACTTAAAGAACCGGATTGAAGAAGAGTAAGCGAGAATGAGCGATATGCACCTTGTGGTCGAGTAAAATGTAAGGCGAGACAGTGGATATTTGGAGTCGAAGAAGACAATGGAGGGGGTGTGTGTTCATATATAAGAGAAGCAATGGCTTTCAGAAAAAATAGGTAGGATTGGATTAAATAAAATCCATTCCACTACACGACAATTTGGCATCAAACGTTTTCATCGATCCAATGCCATACAAAATTCGAGGGTCAATTATGAAAATTTCCTATTGTGTTTAGAATGCCCCTTCACTTCATCTCAATTGCATTTCAGTCCCTGCGATTGGTTTCTTTTTACACAAATTCCATCTCTGACCAGCATCTTCTTTTATAATCTTTTTTGTTTTGGTAAAATAGGGGTAGTAAAACTAAAAATCTCTAAATATATATATATATATATATATATATTTAACTATAATTTTATTTTAATATTTTAAAATTAATTATATTATCGACATATATAATGCAATTAATATCTTAACAATTTCCTTTTATGAAAATTGTAATTTTCAACATAAATTTTGTACAAACGCACATTCTCTCCCACCAAATGAAATAAATATATATATATTTTATAGAAGGTAAAAAGAGAGTAATTATTTTAGAGATTCCGTAGATGGAATTTTTATATTCTTTATCATTTTTTTTCCATTTTAAATAAAAAATACATATATAAAATAAAAGGATTATGTATATATGTATTATTGCATATATAGTATATAATATTATATATTATATCTATACTATATTATAATGCATTTGGCTAAAACTCTTAAAAACTCTTAAACTCTTAAAACTCTTAAACTCGTTCATCTCTATCCGATTTCATCCCATAACTGAATCCGTGTAACTAACTGCATATAAACACAATCAAATACAGGATAAACATCTTATTTTAAATATAAAAAATCTAAAATATAATTAGGATAATC